CCCCCGTTTTCGAAGTTTTTATGTTTTGTTTTTTGCGAGGGGGTAGAGGAGCCCCCCCCGACTCCTAACCCGTTCCCCACCCCCCAAACCCCCTCCCCGATCGGCCGAGGCAGCGGCCGAAAGTTCTCGGCCAGAGCGGCCGCGGCCTGGGGGGAACATAGACTCCCATCATCTCTAATGGGACACTCATTGCTTCAACACGTGATGCAGGATGAACTCCAACCAGACTTCGAGTGTTTGCAATTCGCGTCAGCCGATCCAGTCGGGTAGCTGTTCCTCTTTATGCGACGTCTCACTGTTTCCCGCAGAGGATCTCATTATTTTGAACAAAAATATATGGGAGAACCATCTCGTGAGCATTGACCCCCAATATTTGCATATTGAAAGCGATGTCTCTATGCGTAGGAGCAAATCTCTATGCGTGTAACATTTGACAATGACGGTCAAATTGTGGTCGCTTCGGATGATGGGTCGAACTTCTGGTAACTGTACACGCTGCAGGAAGAGGTTGAGGTTGAGGCAACCCTGGCAGTGGCGAGGAGGATGATCAGGAGCTTGAGGACGTTATCACTCCAACGAAGATGATTGACGCTTGGAACACACTTTGTGCCATCCAACAATGGCCAACCCAAGACAGGAGCCACGTAAAGCTATGTGCATGGTTTTGCCTTGGGAATCCGGATTTGAGGACCCCAGTCATCGTCGACTACTATGGTCGAATTCAGGTGTTGAATCGCAACACTACAGTTACTACGCTTTTTTCGGCCGTCAAGGTCGATGGTCGAAAAATGAAAGCTCACTTCGTTGTAAGGGAGGACTATCGAGGTGTCACCCTCAGTCGCGCGGAAGCGTTCCACAGCCCGACTCTTGCTCGTGCTCTAGGGCGATTCAGAACTCGGCTATCCATAGATGTGGCTCTTAGGAAGGAGCTGAAGTTAAGGGTCGGCTGTTTGGTACACAGTCAGTTGCACTACCTTTTCGATAATTGCGAAGACATATCATGGATAGTCGAATATAGGGATCACAACATGGAGGTGGTTTTCCATAAACAACACAACCACCGGTCGGGTGCCAGAAAGGTAGAACTGTTCCCCTGTGCTTTGAGAAAAGTGTATGATTGTCCTTACTGTGAAGACGGGCATCCCTGGTAGTCGTTTCCACTATTCCCTGGATTAGGTGTCTCCTTGCGCAATTGGGAATGAGAGTACAAGCGCCGTTTCCATTCTTGCTAGACTACGTGTGTTCGTTTTCACTTCTTTTGTACCTTGCACAAGCGGGAATACGGCCACCCTGCCACGAAGTGCGAATATATTCTCAGTTATCTGACCCCGAGTATGCCGTTCAGTTGCTCCTTTTACTTGATGTGTATGCCTTCGATTCATTATGAACTGGCATAAGTTGGAGTATAATCGCAGTTGCCATTCTTGCCGGACTCCGTGCGCGTTGTCGCTAACATGCTATCTCGTGCTTCCTAACGTAATGCAGGATGAACTCCAACCAGACCTCTACCCACGCAAGCACTTCTAGCTCGTCTCACGACGGCGTCTCGCCAGACCGGATTCTCGATCTCGATCTCTTCATTTTGGACAAGAATATATGGGAGTATGAGCGAGTGAACTGTTCAATCCGATATCTGAACATCGAATCGGATGTTGCGCCAGATGGGCAAGTTCCCGTGATATTGAGGATGGGCGCCACCGCTGATGACCTTGTGGTCGATAGAGATATGGGTAGAAACTTCTGGTACTTGTACTCCTTGGAAGACGAAATTGATGTAGAGCCCGTCGACGAGGAGGGAGATCCAGAACCTGCCACTCTTGAAGAGATGACGGACGCGTGGCGCGTCCTCTGTGCAAAGCAGAGATGGTTAGACCCCGACAGGAGGCACGTAAAGCTTTGTGCCTGGTTTTGCCTGGGACAACCGATTGTGCCTGCACCGGTCATCATAGATTATTACGGTCGCATTTGGGTATTCAACCGTAACACGACAATCGTGACACTGTTCACGACCGTGAAGATTGACGGTCAAAAGATGGAAGCGCTTTTTATTGCAAGGGAGGAGTTCCGAGGAGTCACCCTCAATTTTGTGCAAGCGTTTCGCAGCCCCACGGTCGAGGGTGAGCTCAGACGCTTCAGAAATCGGTTATCGCACGATGCGGCATTAAGGAGGGAGCTCAACTTCAGAGTCGACTGTTTGGTGCACTCTCAGTTGCACTACCTTTTCGATAACTGTGGCGAGATTTCCTGGAAATTGGAACATAGGAACCACAACTTGGAGGTTGTTTTTCAAGAGGAGGAACACGGTCTGTCGATGGCCCGTGATGTGAACGATTGTCCGTACTGTCACAACGGACATCCTGAATACCTGTAAGGAAAGTGGTCCTCACTACGAGAGCAGTCTGCCCGTTCCACATGAATGAAGTGTTGGGAACGAGTCGAGATTAAGTGGCGGTTGCTGAACTTGCGCTCTCTTACGAAGTCCGAATCTATTCTCACTTACCGAACCACATGAATGACGTGCGGAAAAGAAGTCGAGATTAAACGGCCGTTATCGTAGAGCTCGTCGACGAAGAGGGATATCCAAAACCAGCCACTCTCGAAGAGATGACGAACGCGTGGCGCGTCCTCTGTGCAAAGCAGAGATAGCGCCATAACGGAACTTGCACTCTCTTCCAAAGTGTGAACCGATTCTCGGTTATCGAACCCTTTCGTGCATCCGACAACATGCTGTATTTGTTTTTTGTGCACTCGGTTCTTTTTTATGCACTTCGGAGAATCACAACTGACGCGCTTCCTTGCATTTCTCCACTGATGCAGAATGGATGTCGATACTTCGTCGCAAAGCAGGAACTCCTCACCGCCAGACTTCGATCTCATCATTTTGTCAAAGAATATTTGGGAAGACATCGGGCGTTCTGGTGTGAACCGCGACTACCTACACCTCGAATCTGATGTTGCCCCCGACGGGGAAATCCCTTTGTGGCAAGGTGCGGAAGAAGGACACCTTCGGATTTGCCGTGACACGGGGTCCAACTTTTGGTACTTGTACACTCTGATAAAGGATGTACACCCATCCCCTGTCGGGTTGGAGTCAATTCTAAAGAGAGATACTGTCGAAGAGGAACCGGTCCAAACTTCTAAGATGGTGGAAGCATGACACATTTTATGTGAAAAACAAAGTCGTCGGACATGTTGCATCTGAAACTTTGTGTCTGGTTTTGCCTCGGGAAACCGACCCGGTCGGCGCCGGTAATCATAGACTACTTCGGTCGAGTGAGGGTGTGTAATCGTGGCACCATCGTGGCAATGCTGTTCACTGCAATGAAGGTGAACGGTCGAAAAATAAGAGTTTTTTTCCTCGTAAGGGAGGAATTTCACGGTGTCAAACTCACTTCGTTTCAAGCGTTTCACACATCCGGGCTTACTCGTTCCCTTGCGCGGTTCAGAAGCAGGCTATCCATAGATCCTGCACTGAAGGATGAACTGGATTTGCGGGTTGAATGTTTGGTGCACCAACAACTCCACTACCTCTTTCATTGCTGCGACGATATAAATTTCACAATCGAACATAGGGATAACGAATTGCGATTTGTTCACCGTCGTCTGCAGTATTCAGCCTCCGGACCTCAGCATGTGACACTGCGCAACGGGAAGACGAGATATGCGTTCGACTGCCCTTACTACGATGCTGGACTTCTACATCTTCAATAGCGGCGTTCTAAATTTATGGCTTCATGTTCTCTTTAGTGCGAATAGACTCGCACTATGCTTCCATCCCATTCAATTTAGTTTGCCCCCTTGTTTATCGCTCCTTCATTTTACCCCATCCCATTGCGTATCTCTCGTTCGGTATACCCCGTTGCATGACAAACTCTCTATCAAGTGCGAGTTTATTCGCACTTTGCCAACATCGGTCCGTATCAACATCGTCGTCTGCCCACTTCTTTGGGCATGACTAAGCACTCTTACCTCTTCCGATGCGGGATGTCGTCCGGAAGTGCCAATGGGACGGTCATTGTCAGAGACCTCGGCTACTGCAGAAGTCTGCGAAGGATAGTCATCGTCTCCGGACATTCGGAATCCATATGCGAATAGACTCGCATTTATCGCCTTATGCCTTCGGCAATAGGTCTGGCCTTGTCACACTGTGGATATCGTGTCGGGCTTGGATGAGTTTTTGTGTGGGACTTGTGTAGACAGGTGAACATCGTGTCGGGCTTGGATAAGCTTTTGTGCAATATAGGACTTCAGCATGATTTAGCTTTTGTGTAGGTTTTCGGCTTGAATCAGCTTTTGCGTAGGATTTCGGTTGAACTTATGTTCGTCATGTTCGTATTTGAGGTAGGGCTTGTTTCTGGTGTAATGTAGGACTTTTCGGCTCCTGTTGGACTTCGGTTGAGCTTGTGTTCGACATGCTCGTCTTTGAGGTAGGGTTTCTGTTTTCGTGGCTCTGGCGACGAGGGCGTGTCATGCAGACTGTACGGAAGCGTCTTGCGTAGATGAGGTCGTGTCATGTACACTGTGCGGCGTCGATGTGCTGCTTGATTTTTCCCGAAGATATCCACAGTCGCATGTTGTGTAGACGAGGGCATAGGTCATTCGCATGTTTGCTCTCGGCTCCATGAACTTTGCGACGTGGGCTTGGATTTTTTTTTGGAAAGCCCACCTTCATCTTTATGAACGTGTCCTTCCATGATTTTTTGAAAGGCTCTGTGTACTTTACAATGTGGGAGTGAATGATTTTTTGTAGTGAATGAATTTTTGGAAACGCCTATGTGTACTTTGCAATTCGCCATTGAATGATTTTATGCATTTCATAATGTCTGGAAACTCTCCGTGTGGTGTACAACTTGACCTTTACACAAACACTAGGCACCTTGCAGGTGTTTCCATCTCAATGTTTGTGATGACAAAAGTTAACTACATGAATGGATGTTATGTGTCTTGTCCACGCAAAAATTTTGATGACATTTTCACCCGGGAACGAACAAATGACAAGCCAGTGTCCATAATTAATCACCACGCTGTCGGTGTGCGCACCCAGCTCTTCATCTAAGTGCGAGTGAACTCACACTTGTGGTGTGAACGCCGAGCAATTCACTTAGGCAACTGCGATGACAACAGTGAACGTCATGAATCTATGTTACGGAGTCGTCCATGCAAAGATTTGATGACGTTCTCAACCGGGAACATACAAATGACAATCCAGCGTCCATGTTAAATCACCACGTTGATGGTTGGCGCACATACCTCTCCATCTGAGTGCGAGTACACTCGCACTTAAGTGAGAGTACACTCGCACTTAAGTGAGAGTTCACTCACACTTTGCTTAAGTGATGAGCTTGTGGAGATACAGTACGGGACGTGACGATTGAGTGTTGGTCTCCCCTGAGTTCACTCACACT